CTGTGGTGTTTGCTAAGCAAAAACTAGAGTGCAAAACCACAAAAAGTACAATCAGTGCTTTAATATGTACAAAACAAAGGGAGACAGTCCCAAATGCATTTTGTGCAGAAACCACTCTTCATCAGAGGATACATTTTGGTCAACACAACACAGTTCATACGGGTGCTATTCTTTTCATAAACTTTTGTAGACCTTGCTTTTGAAAACTGGCTCTGTCCTCTTTGTTTGTTTCTGTTTTCGTTGAGATACCTGGCCTGCAGACTTTGTGAACAATTCAAAATGAAAGGCAGCAAATACCAATTACAATGCTTCAGACAATAAACAACATAAAATAGTCAACATCTTTATATAAAATAGTCAGCATATGTATAAAGTGCTTTGTCCTCCTTTTAGTAAGGCTAGACTACAAGAACTTGTAAGCATCTCTCTCTCTCTCTCTCTCTCTCTCTCTCTCTCTCTCTCTCTCTCTCAAACCAAAACATCATTTTCTTCCCTGATGTTTTCTCCATCAAGGCACTATTCTTGGAAACTTATTAGAATCCTCGAGGACCAATCCAAATATTCTTAACCAGCTGCCCGCAGCATGAGACACAGTATTGCTGGCCTGTAGCTATTTCAGGCAAAGAAATCTGCACAAATACATTCAAAACATACGATGCATGCAAGAACCACCATTATCTGTTAGCAGGATGTCTAGGGTAATTCAAGAGCCAAATACAAAGATATCAGCTTAACCAGGCCAGAGTTGACAAGCAGCTGATCCATCACTGGAGGATCCTTTGGACAGAGGAGGTCCCTTTACAAGTCACATGGCCCGACTCAGAACTGGAACATAACGATTTACCCCTGAAGTGTCTTATTTTGGAGGTGGGAGGGGGAAAACCCAAAGGGTTGCAGTCAAACCCTGAGACCAAGAAAGTCTTCAAATTATGCATGTTGTAGGGAGACAGCAGTGAATTCAAGGAAGAAAGACATTCTTCTCTCTTGCCCACGACTCCGCTGCTGCTTGGCTGTGTCTCCTCTCCTCTACTCACTAGACAACTCCCTGCTCCACACCTTCATTCCACTCCTCTATCTCTTTCCTATTTCAGCTGGTATTAACCTTCACCCTCCAAAGACATACTGAGCTGGTTCAAATGGCACATTAAATCATGATTTATTAAACCATGTCACATTAAACCATGATGCAAGCAAAGGTGCACGGAATCTTGGGCTCCTGCCTCTCATTGGCTCTCTGGGCATGGGAGATCCATAGTTTTTGCTTCCATTTTTAATTAACCACAGCTTGTTTCATCCAAACAGACAATCTGAAGTCCATCTTAGTTCTGATTAGCTGAAACAAGCCCACTTCAAATTATGGGTTGTGAGGCTGGCTTGTATCAGCAAACCAGAGTTAAAATTAACCACTGTCTGCTCTGGATGTAATGCTAAATAGCAGTTAAATTAAAAAGTGAAAATGTCCAATCTTCTCATGGTTGTACTAGAGGAAAGGGAAGCATGTTACTCCAAGGCTGGCCCTTCATAAACTACCACCACTAAAATGTTGGGAGAAGGGAGGAACCAATACTGCAACTTAAGAGGTTTTCACTATGTACAAAAGGACAGGAAAGCATTGTATTTTGCTTTTTCCCCATTTCCCTAATGTTTACAGCAATGGGGAAAAAAACTCTTTGAATTCTCTGGGGAGCTTAGAATAGCTCTTAATTCCAAAAAGGTTGGGAAAGCCTTCCAGCAATCCAAATACTATGCGGAGGAATAATAATAATAGGGTAATCTTCAAACAGGAATGGAAAACTTGCCACTGCTTTATAAAGGACGCAGAGTGCATTATATTCTCAGATGCATTTAACTTCAGCACTTTCACATCCTCTTGTCAATTATGTTAGGGAAATAAATACATGGGAGATGAACTATATTTAAAACAACAGTGAGTTCTTGGGTCATCTGCCAGTTTGTTTTGCCTCATGCTGAGACCAAAGTTCCTACTGTTAGAGTGTAGCTTTTCTTGCTCTAGCCATGCAAAGGAGCCCTCCACCCACCGCACACCCTCTGCTCCCCTCTTTCCTGCACCTGTTGACTCATGTCGTAATATCAGCTTCCCGTCTGACAGCCCTTAGGAACTGGCAATGGACTTCAGGCAAACCCAGAAGAAAGGAAAAGCAACACGTCAGGGAAAAAGAAAGAGCAGGCAAACTAATCACCCAGGTCACAAACAAGGCTTAACTGGGTTGGGCGGACTGCAGCACCTCCGTTTGTGAAAAGGATCACCCACCAAAGTGGAATGGGTGATAAGCAGGCTGAGTCTGAACACTTGGGGTAATCCCTCTTGCTAAACTTAGAGGTACTCACTTAGACACTTCTCTAAATTCAGTTCTGTCTGGCCAAGGAAGAGAGAGAACTTGGAGCAGGGATAGACCATGTGGTGCTCCCCAGCTGTTCTGGACTACAACTCTCATAATCCCTGACCGTGGGTCATATTAGATGGGATTTATGTGAGGTGCAGTCTGAAACATCTAGAGGGCACCAGATTGCCTACCACAGAATTAGAAGTTTCCTTTCGGTGTTCAGCATTTCATAGAGATAGATACACTGTCTAGGGAATTCTGTGCCTTGAAATGTGAATCATTTGAAAGGCAAGGTTCATGAATCATCAGCTTTGTTGCAACAAGCCTTCCTAATTCCGTGCCGTCTTCCCTCCGTTTTTTCCTCTCCCTCCTCCCACCCCACACGCATTTTGAAATTAAAAACTGGGAAGTAGGCTTTGATTGCCTGATGAGGGAGCTCTGTGCCAAGTGAGGAATCACAAACTTTTTTCCTCACAAGACCGGGCTTGTGCCTGACAGGCAGCTGCCTCACACTCTGCAAACAGGGATGCGGCATGGCAGGGACGACTAGCTGCATGGCAGACTGGCCACGTTTGCTGGCCCAATCAAAATGCATGCAGATACATGGCATATGTGTTCATTCCCTCCACAGAAGTGCGTTGAATGGACTCGGAGATCACGTTCTCCACCAACAGTCTCAGCCAGCCCGGTAAGGCTCATTCCTCAGTGTGAAGGTGGAACGGTTTACAATCACACTGTAGGAATTACTGCTTTTCTGTAGAATCCTAACAGCTTGACAAAATTAGTTTGTGGTTTGGGTTTCTTATTTTTTTAATTAAGGTGACAAAAAGTGCACCCTGCTCAGATCAGAAAACTGTGGTCTAATTTAATGAGCGTCAAGTTTGTTGTGCATGGCCAAATATTTTCAGCTACAGCAAATCTGCTGAAAGACATCAGTGCTTTTTTTTTTTTTGGCACAGTCACACAATATTTCACTGAATGATCTGTCAATCCTGCAGGCATTCCAAAATGCAGCAGAAAATGAAAGGTGTCTTTATGAAGACAAATGGCACATTGTCTGGTGGGGTAAAGGGACGTTAGCTACACAATGCAGTCAAACCTAAAATGCTAATGATCACACCAGGTCCTTTCTTCAGCCTAAACACCTCCAGGCGGGGATGAGGTAGAGCGTCAGGCACACTGGGTGCTCCTTTAACAATCCAAAATAAGTCAGCGTCCCAGGATCAGTCCTATTTCTTTTCCAGAGTTCATTACCTCCAGGTTCTCCTGGACTGCCTTTTCACCAAATAGAAAGAGCGCCATTTGAAGAAGGGGGACATTTACGGTCTTGATTATAGCTTTAATTGTTTAATGTCCTTAAAATCAGTTTGTGAACTTACATTGTTAGCAAGGGGCCTTTAAATGGGAACTGCTTGCAAGCTATTTGCTGATCCAAAACCAGCAGAGCACTGCTCTGAGCAATAAATGCCTTTACCTTCCTGTCACTGCTGGACTAGAAGTCAGAGAAGGACAAACGAAACCATTGGCACAGCAGGTGATTTAACCCCTCTGCCAGTAGGAGGAAATGTTATTTTGCACTGCAACACAAATGAGGCTATAAACATTTTGCTCCCCCCAGTCCCTTGCTGTCAGCATCTGGCTTGTGTCAACAGGGGAAAAAAGTTTGTTGGTTAATGATTTTACAATGACAATACTTAACCTACACTAGTTCCCTGCCATCAGAGACCATGCCTTTCCATCAGCCAAAACACTAAATATAGAACAAAGATCCAAATGGTGGGATACCCACAAGCTATTCATGTGGGGGGACTACCTAAGAGAGCAACTGGTTTTGCCAAGAAGTGATGCTACACGCAGTCTCCATTTCACAACGATATAAGCATCGAGAATTCGCGCCGGCTAATCAAAATGAGTTACCACTGGGTCGTCTGAGTAGAAACAAATGTGTGTGTATACATAAAATGAAGGTGCTCTGAAAGCTACATTCACTGTGCTAACATCAGTGATGATCTGTTATGAATGAGGATTTCAGAAGCTAGACTTGCACTGGATCCTACACAGTGGACTTTCTATACGTAAAGGACTTGGAATAGCCAGCTGCAGTGAAGAACATGTTCAAGCCACTCAGTCACGATGGACATTGTTGAAAAGTAAACATTTGACTTTACAGCATTCTCAAAAACTGCACAACCAACCCCAACGTCTTGCCTTAAACTTTAAGGTAAATAAATCTTCCGATGAGAAGGTAAGCCATCAGTAGCACCAGATTCCTTCCTGAGTTAAAGGATTTTGCTTTTAGGAACAGGAGCTCAGTTCAATATTCCTACAATTGTGAGGTAGATGAGCGTGGTAACACTACATCACACGAATAAACTCCGTGGTGGACCTTACAGTGTCTTAGCTCTTGTTGAAGAGGCTCTAATGTGGATACATACAAATCCAAAGAGCCTGTTCCTTCCATACGTTCCATAACCTGCTAACAAGCCAGCACGGGGCACCTCCCGCATTTGGTGTAACCCTTTGCTTAGCTCTAGTGGCTGTGGAGCCACTACATGTTATCCCCTGTTTGAATGTCCTATGGTGACAGACCATGCTAACAATCATCAGTGCTAGGCTCAGTCCCCTGGAACCTAATGCCACCATGCAACACAGTACCTTTGCAATGCAAAAGCGCTTCCCCAGTAGGGGGGCATCCTTCTTCACACAGCAATTCGCTAGCAGTCTCCTGTCCCATGTGATAGCCATTGTGCTCCTCATTGAAGTCACCTTTGCCATTGCTATTGGAATATCCATTGATGTACAGCTTGGGGGTAGACCTCCGAAAGCAGAGGATCTCCTGGAAAGCATACCTGAAGTCTGGGCTTCGGCAGTAAATTAAGGGGTTGAAGGCAGAGTTGACATATCCCACCCAGTTCAAAATTATGTACACGGTATTGGGAATCAAGGGCTCATGGATTGCATGCACAATATGGACGATGAAGAAAGGGAGCCAACACAAGGTGAAGGTGCCCATGATAATGCCCAGGGTCTTGAGAGCTTTGTGTTCCTTCAAGCAAAACTTGGATGCTCTCCTGTGACCTGTCTTGCCACCATTTTGTTCCTGCTGTGAATTTTGCTGATGGAACCGTCCTTCACATTTGTCTATCTTCTTGAGGTGCTTCTGGGCAACCTGGAAGACCTTGGCATAGACAAAAACCATGACCACCAAAGGCAAATAGAAGGAGATGATGGAAGAACCAATGGCGTACTCTCGGTTGATGAAAAAGTCACAGCAGGTCTCATTGCGATAGCACTCCAGGGCCTCTGGCTTCTCGGATTTGTACCAGTCCACCCAAATAGGCAAGAAGGATGTCAAGATAGAAATGAGCCAAACTAAGAGGATGACTGTCCTGGCTTTGTTCTTGGTCAAGAGGCTTTGATACTTGAAAGGGGAAGTGATAGCAAAATACCTGTCCACTGCGATGACGCAGAGGGTCTCGATGCTGGCTGTTACGCACAGCACGTCGATGGAGGTCCAGAACTTGCACCAAAAGTTGCCGAACTTCCAGGTGCGCTGGATGATGTGGCTAGCCCCGAAAGGGACCACCGCCAGCCCCATCAGCAGGTCCGCGCAAGCCAGCGAAGTGATGAAGTAGTTGGTGACCGTCTGCAGCCTCTGGAACCGGGAGATGGCCGTGATCACCAGCACGTTGCCGAAGACGATGGCCAGCACGATCAGGGACATGAGGACGCCCATGCCCACCACCCAGCTTTCCTCGGACGCGATGGGATTGCCCCGGCTCTCGCCGCCGCCGCCACTGCCGCTGCCGTTCGCGCTCAGCGTGCTCTGCACCGGGGCGGCGGTGCCCCCCGTCTCCATAGCGCTGGCGAAGCAGGCAGCTCGAAAAGTTGCGATCGCCTTTGCTGCCGCCGCCGCCGCTCGCAGGTCGGAGCAAATCCGCTGGCCGCGCGCGGAGGCTCCGCCGTCCAGCCGCCCCGCCCCTCGCCGCCCCTCGGTGTGGGCTACGGCGCCGAGGTCCCTGGCCGCGTAACCTTCGCAGGCGCTCCGCTCGCAGCCGCTGCAGCAGGCAGGAGGCACGCTGGAGGCGATCCAGGCTTGGCAGGCGCGCGCGGGGCTCGGCGGACCGGGAGCCTCATCCAGCCGGCACAGCAGCCCGGACGGCAACGCGGGCTTACGTTTGCTGCTGCTGGCGCTGCTGGCGCTGCTCCCGCTGCCGCTCCCGCCGCTGCCGCCCGCGTCCTCGCATCCCTCGTGCGCCTCGCAAGTAACACTGGCTGCCTCGAACTTGTCCGGAGGAGCCCGTTATCTTTAAGGGAGTTTATAGGAACTCCTAATTGTGACGTTCAGCAGCACCCAACCAATAGGTTGTTGGGAGGGAGGCAGGGAGGGGCGCGCGCGCGCGCGCACACACCCTCACACGCGCACAGAGGCGCGCTCGCGCTGCGGGCACCGCTCAGCCGCGGTGGCAGCCGCCGCCGCCCCACGCCAGTCGGTCTGCTGTCACTTCCAGAGGTCGCTGCGGCGGCTGCTTGGACACTGCTTTCCCCGAGTGTCCCGGCCTGAAGCACGTGGTGCGGCACGACAGGAAGCCGCCTGCACTGCCCGCAGCCCGTTGTTTGCCACCTGCTTCGACCTGCAGCGTCGGCGGCTGCCCGCGAGGAACAGCCTGACCGATCAGGAAGAGCGGTGGGAAGGTGGTGGCGATGGGGAGGGAAGCTCCAGGCGGGAAGGGCGGGCGTGATCCGGGCGGCCAGAGTCCGCTCGCGGTGCCGCCAGAGGCCAGGCGCTCGGCAGGCGCCCCGCTTCCCTCTCGGCAAACGCACCGCCCTTCCCGAGTGCGCTCGACAAGACTCCGATATCTGCATTTCTTTAGCCCAGACCTCGGCACGCTGGACCGTAGCAACCTGCGGGGTGCCTCTTTATTCCATCACTGCCTCATCCAGCCCCGATGTGTGCTCCTGGCTTTGTGCCCTTGATTCATCCCTGCCCAACCTGCTGCCCTCCACATCTGTTGGACTACAACTCCGAGCATTCCCAGCTAGCAAGCCTCGAATATAATTTTAGGCCCTATTTAGATCTTTTTAGGCATTCAGGGGGATGTCTTTTTCTCCCTCCCTCTCAGCATACATTCAGGTACACAAGGACTGCCATTTTTCAACTTTTCCACCTCTCCCCTTGAAGGGCTTCCAGATAGTAAACACTGTTGAAGGTGTTCCAGTTGCTGCTAAGGGCTGTAAAAAGTGAGAGACAAACGATGCCATCCTATGTATATTTAAACAGGTAAAAAGCCCTCCAGCTCCTGGGGCATGCTGGGAGTTAGAGGACTTTTTCTGTTTGGATGTTCATTGGATTGCACTTTAAATGCCTTCTTTTTAAAGAGAAAACTGTTGTGGCCAGTGTATTAGCCACAGTTCCCAGTCTCTCTAGGAAACAGGAGGCTGGACTTTGGTCTGAATCAAAAAGGGTCCATTTCCATTTGAAACTGGCATAACCAGCTCCCAAGTGCAATGGTTTATGGTGTAGATCTAAGACAACAGCCCTTCATATCCAAACAAAAGAGCACCTGCTTTCCTCTATAAAATATTGGGCAGTATATAGTTTACCAGTGCTCAGGAAAACTAAACACATGTTTCCACTTCCATTAAATTTGTCCCTGTGCCTTGTTCATTCAAATACTATGGATTCTCTTCCTTGACATCTTTCTAACCCAGGCACTCCAACTTCCTAGTTGCCCAGTAGTGAATCATTAGAATGCTTTTCTCGGATTTTAATTAAATAGCAATTCCTTCCTCCACCTCAACACATATTTTTCTCCTACCCTGGCTCATACCCCCACCCCCCATGGCTTATGAGCTTAGCTCACCCTCTTGATGATAACCTGCTGTTCCTGAATGGGAAATTAAAAAGGAACAGACTAGCCTTGAAATGTCAGGGAAGGAAATCAGTTTGTTGGTAACTACATTAAAGTTGCAGTCTGATCCCTGTTCTGTTGGGATCTGCAGAAACAAGAAAGAGTAGCTGAGTGATCCCAACAGAGAAGTTCACACCAATTGTATGTGTATGTAGTTGAAGTCTCCCTTATTTTTTCATTTTAAATTATCATTTGAGGCTGCATATATATTTTTGCATTTTCCAGCAGTTCAGCTGAAATGTAGTTCAATGAGTTCATTGAAAAGCCCCTTTCATGGGCATTGTAGATATGAAATGTGAATAAGGTGTTTGGTAAATTATGCAACTTATTCTTACACAATGTATTGAGGATCAGCTTGACTTGGAAGTTGGAAAAAGATACGCAGCTTTGCATTATATGTATTTAAATTAAGCTTGGGTTCAAAATACACTTCATTCCAAGTAATTGCAACATTTATCTTGCAACACCCTCTCTTTTGATTTCCTCTCTGAATTTAGCATACTTGCCCTGGAGCCAAATACTTTAATTATGGTAAGGAAAACTTCTTTCCTGTTTAGAAAAGTGTAGAATAAATAATAGGTCACTCTATTGCAAGCAAAGGAATAGAACCATTGCCAATAGTTGGGCATTTGAGGACAGTGTTTATGTGAATTAAACAGGCATAAGGAGAGATTGAATCAAACTCTGAAAAAGTCATAACTGTTGGGAAGTGTAAACACTCACATTTCCAAAATCAATCTATGTGAACAATATGTATTGCATTAATGTTTGTAGGGAAAAGTCCTGAAACAACCAATAATCATTATCTTGACTAAGCAGATACCTTAGACAAAAGAGGGCTGGATGGAACAATGTAAATCAGTCTCATTTTTTCCTGTTTGAGCCAAAAGCATGGTAATTGCCTTGAGTAAATTCACCTTACCGAATAGCACATTCCTATGTAGGTTTGCTCAGAAATAAGTGCCACCATGTTTACTGTCTGCAGTGGAAACTGCAAAATATCACAGTCTAAGCCAGGAGTGTGGCATGAGATAACTGTCCAGACTACACCAGGACACCTTCCTGCCTGGAACAGAGTAGATGCAACTGGGCCCATGTGAGATGATTCTGCATTACATAAGAACAGTAAGTGACTCATGCCAGATCAGATCAAAGGTCTGGCATTCTGTTCACACAGTGATTCACCAGCTGCCTATGAGAAACACCAAGGTAGGACCTAAGTGCAATAGTACCTTTTCATTCATGTTCCACAGCAGCTGGTGTGTCAGCAGCCTGCCTCTGATACTAGAGGTAGAATATAGCATCTATATAGCTGAACTAGCACCCATTGATAGCATTCTTCTCCCTGAATTTGTCTAATCTCTTTTTAAAGCCATCTAGATTGGTGGTCATCTCCTGGTTCATACCATAGTTTGATAAGGGACTGTATGCTGTACCTCCGTGTAACCACCCTGAATATTCCACCAATCAGTTTCATGAGCTGATTCTTGGTGCTAGCGTAAGAGGGAAGAAGTCTCCTTATCTGCTTTTTCCACAATGTCATACTTTTGTACACCTCTTCCCGTGTCTCCCCTTATTTGTCTTTTTTCTAAACTAGAGAAAACAGTTCAGATCGTTCAGGTTGAAGGGATGTGCAAAGACTTAATTAAAGACTCTATCTGACTTGCAAATATCTTTGATTCACAGGAGGGAAGCTTATAGAACTCCTGTAGCTGCCAGAGATTATGCATCTCTTATAAAGTTTCCATTATTTGGTTGGAATATGCAAAATCCTATAGATTTATCGTGTGTTCCTTACAGTTGCAGGTACCTTACAACACATTCAAATGGATGACATTGTAGAGACTACATCAGATACATTAACAGCAGGCTGTGGGTCTACTACTAGGTGAATGTTATTTAGCAGCAGTTCTCCAACTTTTTTTTTTGAAAGAAAAGATCATTCCTATTCCTACTGAATGAGATTATTTCCAGGGAAATTGGCAAGGACTGAACTGGGACCTTCATGGGTTCTCCCACTGTGTGGTTCCCTCACCTGTTTTTTTGTGCATCTCAGTTTTTCAATTTTCAGAATGCACAAACGAAAAACAGCTGTGTATCATAAAAAAAAGTATAAAGGAAATGCTGGACGGGCTAGAAGGCAAGGCAATGACTGTGGAGAAACGATGGGACGACCATCACGCCAACACCAGCTTGGGTGACTTTCTGGAGCAACTGGCAGGCTGCCTTTGGAAGCAGTGCTGAGGTAGATGGACCTTGCTCTGATTCAGCAGAGCATGCCTTGCACTAATTGTGCGAAATGAAAGTCTTCTGCTCTGCATGCCAGAACCCTGTCACTCGGGGTTGCATAACGATCTGCCATGTCAAACACCGCCACAAGGAGAATAATGTTTTAGCTGTGATGTAGATACGCAGGAGACTCTAAGATGGGAATTTAGGGAAGCTTCCATACTACGTCTAAGGGGCTAACCATGGTTGCTGCAATTCCCCCTAGGAAACAAATGTAGCACAGCCAGAATCCCCCTTCCAAAAAATTCTAGCAGCTTGTTAAGATTGCTTTCTGCTACATTGTTGATGATTCATTTAATTAACTTGTGTGGAAAGATCAGATGACATTGCTGCTTCGATTGAGGTTGAACTATGTAAAGGAATGGTGGCATTAAGAAGGAAGGAGGAGGAAATGTTGTAAATTTAAGCCACTAACTTCTGCTTGTCCTTTGGAGGATATATTAAGGCAGTTAAGGATCAACAGAACCTTTCTACCTTTTTTTGCTGGGTGGCAGCTCATCCCATCCCAGAGCCATTAATAGGAAAGCCTTATTCAAACTTGTGTTGTATTTCACATTTTATTAGTAAAATAAAGGAACTTTTTATTTACTAGTGGGAATAATATTGAAAGAAAATAGCAAATATTTGCATAATAGGTTTTCTGTTTTCAAGATGCAGTAGTTATTTGTCTGTTTTAAGAAGCTTATTAATTAAAGCAGTAGTTCTTGTCTGCTTGCACATTTAGGGGTCAAATAATCACATCAAAAGAGGGATTCAATCACGGCAATTAGCAGTAAATATATGAAGCAAATGCCATTTCTCTAGCTATCAGCAGAGGTAGCTGTGTAATGCAGAGTTGCTGGCTATTACAGGTCTGATCCAATCCTTCTAACTATTCCTTCCTGAATGTGCTACCTTCCAGGTAGGTGCTATATAAAATTGCATCCTTTGAAAAGACAGCTGTCACCAGTGCAAATAAATGCCCTTAACAGACATCAGGATCGCACAGAACATATCTTTCATTCAAGGAGCTACCAAGACATTAAATGTAAAAAAAAAAAAAAAAGTGCAAAATAGCCCAGGCACTATTGTTGTTGTTGATGATG